TCATCCCGAGAGAATTTTATTTCATTTAATTCCGCGAAACAATCTGACGTCTGTCGCTTTAGATATTCCCTCTAGTGTGAACAATAGTTATAAGCTTACTGCAAAACAGTTATACTTCTTTTCTATGCTTCCTCATAACTAACAAAATTTAGCATGAATTTCAAAGTTACGAATGTAAATTATTAAAAAGATACGAATTATAACAGAATAATGTTGAAACATATACTTATCGTGTAAATAATAAGAATTAAAATCAATGTTTTTCAAAAATTCATTTATATTGTCTTCTCAAAATAAAAGGTGTGCAAATGCTCGTGTGCAAATAAATGAAGATTTGCATGCATTTTTCGATGTCTAACTTATTTGTTTTTCTGCAGTCTATTCATGCACTTTTCATTCTTTATACACTTTGTTTTATACCAATCGATTCAATCTCTATCTTCAATCTCTATAACAATTGAGTGCGAGTGATTTTTTCACGCACGGCCGTCCCATTTTCCAAACAGAGAGGAAAAAATCCCGCGAAACTGCATCACATTTACACTATCTACGAGTCGCGAGTTTTTTTTTTACCGTGCAAAACTTTTTAATTGCGAGGCTCACTCCGATGATCGAGGCGAGAGAAGGCCATCCAATTTGAGCGAATGGGTTTTTCTCGAAAGCTTTCCCTTCCTCGCCCTACTCCCCCCCCCCCCCGTCGTGTCAATCCCTTTGCCGCGATTCTTTTGTGACGTAAAAATTGAATCCACATAGCTATGGTATATTCACGGACGTGAACATGTGTTCGTGGATGTCGTGCACATATGACAAAATTCGGAGGAGAAACCAACTGCCCCTTTCTGCTTTTTCCTTTCTTTATCCGCTCTGTTCCTCTTTTTTCATTTACACATTTCGGTTTATTCTCTTTCTTCTCAGAATAACTACAGCTGCCATTGTCATTGGCAATTTTTGTTAACTACAGAAGACACAATTTATCAAATTTAAAAATATGACAATATTTACAAATGTGCAAATTTTCCCAAGTTTTTTTTCTATTCTTGAACATCGCTTTCACACAAAATAAAAAATAATTGTAATAATTTGTACGCATCTAAATGCGAATAAATAATACATCTATAATAAAAATCTACATTTTACATTAATACAAAAAAATTCAAAGTGATAAGTCTTCGTTAAAAAAGAGAAAGTTTCAATTTTTTTTCTGGACTATGGAAAACAAAGATATATGTATAGATATATGTATTCGAGAAAATATAGCTTGTCAAGAATTGATGTTTTGTTATTATGATTTTTTTATATTTATTTTTTGACGTGGCTTAATTGTGGGATTCACCAAGACTAAACACGATCTTCCAATCGGTCAAATAAACACACGCATCCGGTGAATTTGTCCGTTTCCGTTCTACCGGAATCTTGCGGTTGTCCGTTCGAATAAGACATAAAGGGAGAGAAACAGGAAGAGGAGGAGCAGCAGGCTCGAGAGTCGACCGGAGTAGAATGACGAGGAAAAAAAAGAAAATAGGAATAAAATAAAAGACGAACGCGTTGTCCCACGGTAGCTCGTCGTCGGCTAGACCAAACAAACAATCTTTATCTTCTTTATGGTCGCCCGCTTATCTCCGTCCGGCGACTAACTCTCAGCAGGTTTCCGCGCCTTTTTCTCGCCTTCCTACGCAAAGAAATCCTTTGTGTTCCGGCATACGTTCTCACGGCGGAAGAAAAGTTTCACGAGAGAGAGAGAGAGAGAAAGCGAGACGAAATGCAGAAAATTTGAATAAATCTCGCGCCGCGTCGTGAATATCATTTCGCTAGACTTTGCGGAGTGTTCCGCATCTTTAAGCGGGCACTGAAAACGGTTCTCTAAGTACCGTTCCCGTGAAGTTTTGAGAAAGCCGTGCCTGTGCACCCCACGCGACGAAACCCGGGCAAGCTTCGTTATAACCGCCGCGCGGAAACCTTTGGCGTTCTTTGCGTGAGAGAGAGAGAGAGAGAGAGAGAGAGAGAGAGAGAGAGAGAAAGAAAAGGAGACGGAAACCTTAAATCGCTTAACCGATATCGAAGATAAATGGTTGCGTTGATATGAAAAATGAGTAGTTTCTTTTGTAGATAACTGTCCCAAATTATTTTGTAGAAATAAATCAAGGAATTGAGACAAATGTGCTCAATCAAATATTTTGCGAAATTTTTTATGATCATTTACCTCTGTGTCTTTTGTTCCATTACTTAGAATAATCCATCCCAATCAGTTTCTCTTAAAATTATTCTTACTTTTCTTTGTTTACATGCCGGAGATTGATTGTTTTATATATAAACTTTATCTGTGTCTTTTGGCTTAGATGCGTTGAAAACGTGAAAGTGAAATTTATATAAATCGATACATGCCGAGAAATTGTTGCGAGATTTCCTGACAAACTGAGATCGAGCGCCGGCGACGTACAAATGACGATAAATTGTTCAATTCACTAAATGCTGCTTTCCCGCGGAAAGACGGAAGAGAAGTCAAATTGCGAAAACTTTGACAAATACTTCGGATATAAAAGAACATAATATCGATATTCTGTCTGCTCGTCGAGGAATTTTTAGAATATAGGTATTTTATGTGTGTGCGTGTGTATGTGTAAAATTTGACTTTGTTAAATTAATTTCACCGTGATGATAGAGATATATATAATTAATCATATCTCTATCATCACAGTGAAACTAATTTAACAAAGGCAAATAATAAGCGTGTCCACCTAATTTAATATCGAATCCATTTCGCCCTCTTTCGAGGGATGACTTCGCATTATATAGCTACATAGGGAGGAATGTTCCTCGTGATCGCTTATTGAGACGAGCATGAATCGTGAAATTCGTCCGAAGTCGCGTGTATCCGTGCGGAATCAATTCGCCAGAGTTCCCGAACAAGAATGCACAGAGCGATTTAGGTTCTTTTATATGCGGATTTTTTACCAATTTTTTTTCGACAAAAATTGGTCGCGAGACCAATCTCTGTGTTATAAAGAATTTAAGGACTTTCAAGAGTAAAATTTTAACCAAAAGTTTTTCATGCAACGTTATCCGATTAAATTTTTCAAACAGAAAGGCTCAGCTTCAAATTCGGGGAATTCATACGCGAGAACATCCCGATGCATACGCGACACAACAGGAAAAGCGGTCAGCAAAACCGAGAGCTCATCGGCGTTTTGTATAAGTTTCGGTTAACCGCTGACGAACGATCGGTATATAGCGATCGATCGCGAGGAGATAGCCTCGGTGGTTGCGGGCAGAAATGACGCGGCAAACGCGGCGAAAGAGGCGCATTTTCGTCGCGTTTCTGCCTCTGTGACGCTCGGAAAAAGTCGTGGAATGTGCGACTGCCGTTGGCTGCGCGCAATAAAATCGCTCCGCAGCAGAGCGACCGGCTTTTGGACTCTTGGTACGTTAATAATAATAAATTATGGAATCCGCCGCGCTGGTCAACGACGCATGCGGATCTGGAGAAAGGCTTCGCCCGGCATTCGCCAGTCTCATTAGAGGTTTTAATTGCGCCAGGTGAGATCTCGGACAACCATAAAGACGAATAAAAATTCGGTCGCTCTCCCGGAAAATAATAAACCCGACCCGTGAATTGATATAGTCGAATCGGTCCGTGATGTTCCTGATGAGTGCTCAACTCGATCGCGTTCCTATATTTTCGTCATATAATCGCGGTTAAATGTACAGACTTTATCCACTTTATCACTGCGTGAATCACAATATATATTTTAATTGCAACATAATGCTAATTCCGCGATTACGTAAATAAAACAATATCCTGATTTTCTGTTTCCGCATTAATGCAAATATAATGGCTTAAATGTAATATTACACGTGCAATTTAACAGATCGGATAAATATATAATAGCGTTAGACAGATTCTGGCAAAATTAACACACGTTATTTGTCCGTTTCTAAAACTCGACATACGCAATAGTATAAGTATTTCGCAATTTCCCGGCAAAAAAATGAGAAGCAGCCTACGCACAGGCGGACGCTGCGGAGAAAGATTGTTCTCGCGCTCGTATGCACAAATGACGCGAGCCCGTGTGAAAGGAGCATATGGCGCTTTGTAAGAGGCTCCTGCGTCTTGCCTTCTTTAAGCTTTTCGATGCCACCTGTTACGTAAATGCGAACGAGTGAGAAAGAGGACGGCGAGGAGCTTCCTGCGAGACGCGGCCGATTGATTCGTGCCGTAATAATCAAGGAGGACGAATCGCGCGTCCTTCTTGCAACGGAAGGTGGTCTTTCCACCTGACGGCCATTCAGCCGCTCGACAACCACCGATGCACCACCATGCGCCACATCGTGTGGTTATAATAATTCCGATGGCACTGATACCCTCGCAGTGCCGAGCTATCGAATACCGTGCACACAAGGTAACCTTCCGCGGGTTATTGTCGGCCAGTAGTAGCCATACTGCGAGATATCAATTCATTTAAACGAGCTATCAATCCGCTGTGTGCATCGGAGGGAATGAACGAAGTAACGAGAGATTTCAACGAGACAGTGACTAACAGCGCGTTTATATATAGTTGTGAACTACTCTTGGCAAAATATAAATCAACTCGCTCCGTTTTGTTAAATCTTAGATTTTTGTGATAAGTCGCAATCGCGCTCTATGCGTGTGTGAATTTATTGATAAATTAGATTCAAATAATTTAAAGTCTCTTCTTTTTAAGAAAGTCACGCATTATTCGCAATAGAATCCCCATGGAATAATATGCATGTATTAGGTATCCAAAATCATGATAAAATTTTAAAATAAAAATCACTTATCAAAAATCTCGGAATGTGCTATCATAAAGTTATCACAAATCTCGGAATGTTTTGCGTTCGTTGAATCCCGCGCTTTTTACAACGATCAAAGGTATTTTATATTTTTCTCCAGATAACGAGCGAGATGCCGAGTGACATCGCCGAGATTATGTACACGTCGGCGAAGCGGCAGTGGTTAAATTAAGCTGTTCAAAATGACTCACCGTTGATATGCATTTGTGGCTCGGCGAGATGAACTCCAGGCCCCGCTGTCCCTCGCCGCTGAAGCATCTCTGTATATTGCTCATGAACTTGCGGCGGATCGCCTTGAGCGAATACACGCACAGACCCGAGCGTTGTCGCGGCACGTCACTGTTGGGCCCGTCGCTCTCGGCGAACACGGCGAATAGCACATCGTCCTGAGCGGTGATGCCCAGGTCACCGGCGAGCACCGAGCCGGCCTTGCCAACGTAGGCGGCTTGCACCAGGTTGTAGGTACGCTCGTCGCTGGTGCAGTTAATCGGTATCTCAGTGTACGAGTAATAATGCTCGTCGTCCTGGCATACGCGGACCAGTTTCGACAGATAGATCGGCGTCTCTGTGTTTTTCATCTGCGTGGTGAGGAAATAACTGAACCCGCCGCTGCTAAAGCCGTAGATGTAGTTGATGGGGTAACGTTCTCGCGACAGAGAGTTAACGTACATGCGTGTACCGGTCGTGACCGCTGCTTCCGCGATGTTGAGCATCTTGTCCTTGTCGAGGGAACGCGAGCTCACCGCCGGCACTTCCGAACGGTAGGGCGAATTGCCGGTGAAGGTCACGCCGACGTACATGACCTGGGAGACCGGTGGATTTGGCGGGCCGGGCGCGATAAACGCTACCGTCGAGGCGGTGGCGTTGTTCGCCACCACCGCCTCCTTCACTTCCTGCACCACGTCCGATATGTTGTGCAGATTGCGCACCGTGCACATGCCCTGGAACAGGCTGCCGCACGAGATGAGCCGCGTGGTGGTGTAATCGATCACCAGGGCCTTGTTCACGTTGTCGACCGGCCGCTTTTGCGCCTCACGGGGGCAGTCTAGCATCGAGCACGCGGTGGAGTCGCCCTTCGGTCCGGTGACCTCCTTTACGACGAGCAGCAAGTCCGGCGACAGCTGATAGAGACGATTAACCGCGCCTACGTACACCCGGCCGGTGTTCTTGTCCACTACCAGATGGTTCATACGCTCCACCTCCGGATCGTGGAATTTCTGGACTATGTCAGCCGGCGACGTGCGCACCGCTATCGGCAACGATAGCGACAGCGTGAGGATCAGAATCAGCAGCAGCGGCGGGCGACACCAACATCGTCGGCGCGGCCGCGATACCACCGACCGCGCCACCCTCATAGTCCCCGTCGTCGTTGTCGGGAAGACTGACAACATTGCCTATTCTACCTATTTCCACACTACGGACTCCGTCGCGCCTCCACCACCACCACCCCCTCCTCTTCCACCTCCTCCGCCGCCTCCTCCCCCGCCCCCTCCTCCTCCTCTTCCGCGCTGTCCGGCGATTGTGGCGGAGGTGGCTTCTTCCTTGAGCTTCTCCCAGACCTGCAAAAAGCAATCAAAATTGATAGTTAATATACTTGAGACATTAAACCGCAAGGAAATGTATTATATAACAAATTATATATTTTTCAAAAATTGTTCGCATTTAAGAAAAATATCCTCCCTTAGCTCTTAAAAATATATATTTATGTAAAAGAAAAAAATAATTTAAAAAGGAGTATATTTCATGTGTAGCATCAAATTACTTCTCTGTTGATAAAACTTTATTGAATTTATGGAATAAAAAATAAAATTATGATGTATTTATAATTTATAAATACATCAAAATTATTACATATCATAATCTTGTTTTATTTCTTCTGGTATTCAACTATTCTGATTGATATCGCCTCTAGAAATTACAAATTTCTTTCACTTTTAATTTATCTTTTCGTATATGCACAGATGTTCGTCTGCTATAATGTAACTATACTATTCGTACGTCCAAAGAGCGAGACATATTATACGCAAGAGACAGTATTCGCCATGCATAATTGTAACGATTATCTTCTCCGACTCAAGGTGAGAGCACCTCTTGCACGCAACGTAATCTACTTTCGATCGAAGGGAAAGGTGCAATTAGTGCAACGACACGGAACAATTATTGCCGAGAGCGCAAGATAACAATCAAGCATAATAACGTGCAGCGCGCGTTGAAAAGTGCACTTCCTATAGTTGTATTAAAAATATCTTAAATGTTTGCACAAAAGATAATAAATCACATTACATACAACTAATAATTAAGCTTCTCGATTCGGCAAACGTACAAACTAGCGTACCAACGTCAAAGGTAAATACATTTAAATGACGTTTCGTTAATGGAATGTAAGCATCTCTACGTGATTATAAAAGATGCCTTTTGCCGACCGGCTCGACAGTTCACGTTCTCACAGAGGATCGACAAACAAAAAATTGTAGGACGAAAATAACGAGATCGCGGCGAAACGGGAGGAATGTGCGATTTATCGAGCAGGAGGAAACCAGGTGCCTTTGAAACGTGCCCCCTCCGATGCATCTCGTCGGCCCCCTCTTAAGAAAATGACTTCGTGCAGCCGGCGAGCGTCGGAAAAAGCGAAGGGTGGTGGAACGGGCGAAGGAAAAAAAGAAACGCGGCGATCATCTCTCTTTCGTCTCTTATCGTAACGCGGAGGGTAACAGCCGATCGGGAAAAAAGTTTTCTTATTTCCTGAAGACCCATTTTCCCCACTCTTTCCCTTGTTCCCGGATTACCCCCCTCCCTCCCAATTTCATTTGATGTCAATCTCGGTTATAGTGCTCTGCCCCTAGGAAGATTAGAAACATCTGCGTGCAAAAATCTCAGACATTTTGCGCGATCTTTAAGAATAACTCAGTCACGGAAAATTTCAACTGTCTCCATTTTTCTTAATGTATTTTTTATACAGTTAAATTTAATATCCGCAATCGATTACAATTTTTATACAATAGAATTATAATAAATAAAGCAAATTTGTATATAATTACAAAAATAAAAGAATATTTCAGGTATCTATTTTTATGTCTATAAGTGAACAATTCTATTTCCTAAATCCCTAGATATTATAAAAGTGTAAAATATTGTCTTTTATTCGTTAGGTAATCAATACATCAGAACGATGATTAAGTTACGAATAATTTCTATCGGAATTTTGAAAGTCTAATCAGATATCAGTGCTATTTAAAATATATGAAGAACAACTGTATAAGTTCTATTTAATTGTAGGTTATCAAACTTAGAATATTAAGAATTTAATACATTTAAAATTTGAAAAGCGTATAATAATAAAATTTTATGTCAGTAATTTTAGCACTGACAATAGCAAACGTATTTCCAAACTCGATAGTTAAACTAATTTTGATAAATGAATCATTTGTATATTATTCAATTAGTAAATAGATTCAGTAAACTAGATTATCATTCTCGAACAAAATACTGTCGTTACATGTGATAAACTATCTTCTTTTAAAAGAAAAAACACATTTCAAAAAATACGAAAAGAATGTCTACTTGTCTCCTCACGGTATTTTAATTTCGATTAACTTCATGTGAATGAATAATTTAACTACTGACCGAATAATATTACAGTCTCTTGCTTCGCGTATTCGGAGAAGCTTGAAAGAAACCATGAATAGTATCGATTTGTTTATTCAACACGGCGTAGTTGCAGACTACGTTCGTAGGCTATAGCAACTTCGATCCAACAGTGCGCGTCATTAAATGACAAATCGGAGAGTCCAATATCGCATAAAAGCATTTGTTCCATGAAAAGTAAAAGATAAAGTTCGCGCGATTGTATGAGCCATTTGCAGTGAGTAAGCATTACAAGTAACGATTGCACGTATAAAGAAAGTAGACTAGGTGACACGTGCACCGATATAAGTATTGAATTGACTGCGAGCACGCGATTTCTCAGGAAGGAAACGATGCAGGAATGTGCTGAGAAAAAATTGCTTGAGAAAACAGAGTCGTCGCATAAGGGGTGTCCTTCAATTATAATAAAATATATTATATATTATTTTTAAATATTGAATTGCTTTAAACATTCTTTGAAGAATATACATACATATAATAGGTGTGAAAAATCCCTAAGTGTGTGTATGTGTGTTTAAATGTGTGTCCGTCCAATGTCGACTCGCATATCAATTATCGTAGATGACAGACCACGATAGCCTCCCGCATCTGATGAAGAGAACGCGTGCCTTTCTTTATGAATTCCCATTGTACTAGAGAAGAGCGACACGCACTTTGACGTCAGTAATTAACGATCTTAATTGCTCTCGGTAATTTGCACCGCGATTTCGCCAGAGCGATACACGACGGAGACACCTCTCGTTTCCGACAACGTTACGTTAGTCGAGAAAGTCAAACATGCGTGAAACTACGGGCTAATTAGCGTGCAAAAGCTTGAGGCGTTGCCAAACTCAAGGCTGTTGGGATGTTTAAATTTACCGGGGCACCGATATTTTATCACTCATTCAGTATTGAGGATCAGTATATCAACATTTTATAATATTCATGTAGCATGTATTAAACAAAGAACTAGAAGATAAAAAAATTGTAAATATAGCGCAAGCATTATATCATTAAAAATTTTTAATTGCAAAATTACAATATTTTTATATCTATTAATAACAAGAAACAAAGTAAAAACTCTAAATTATGCAAAATTTGATAAGAATATTTAATAAATATTTTAAATATATTTTGTATAAGAAATATTTCAAAAATTATAATCCTTTAAAGTTGTCTCTCATAAAATTCTCGCTGCATTGATCAACTATCCAATCCTCATGCAGAAAGATTTATTTACGATGGCCACCATATGGAATGTACATTGAAGATAAGATCGTCTATGCAGCTTGAGAGACAAATTGCCTTTTCAAGAAAAGGCCACGTAACGAATGTGATTGCTCGACAAACGTGCTTCAGAGGAAAGTGTAAGTATTGAAGGGGCATGAAAAAGAATGAGTATGAGCGTCGAAAGGGGAAGACGATGGGCTGGAGGAAAGCCCGAAACGCAAGGGAACGATGCAACGCTCTCCGCGATCTTTTAAATCTTCCTTCCGTCCCCTTAGCTCGAGGTCCTCCTGATTCCTCATTAAGCAAATGGTCGACGTGGAAAACATGTCGCGGAAACTTCTGTAATTCAAAGAGACACGACGTAAAAACGAACTTAGCTTTCTACGACGTTTAACTTTCTCGTAAAATTCCAATGCGAGAGGCAAAACGATAAGGACTCTTTTACATTTAAATAGTATATACGTCGGTGACAAATGCATTTTGAGCGTGATCACTTTGATTGGTTTAAGCTGAACTAATTCGTTACTATTAAACTGTTATTTGTTTTATTTACTATAATCACAACTATATTTTATTGCTTATTTATTTCATTGACCGAACGTTTCTTTTATTATTTTATCTTCTTCTATTTTTCTTATATACCTTTTTTAGAAAGAAGAGCGAGACAATATAATATCATCAGATATTAATTCTCTTACAATATTAATCGTTATTATTCTTATTTGTTTAATCTTTTTGATATTTAAATATTCATCTCATTAAAATTTCTGCAATTTTTTATTAATAAGCCCTGAAAAATTTGTTTCAGAATATAAATAAATTTATCTTTCTATATTAACATTTTTCTAAAATTCTTATCTAATAAATTTCTAAGAAAGAGAGAGAAAGAAAGTTAAGTAAACACTGTTTTCGATAACAGCGATTTATTGCTCACCAAACCTAACAAACTAAAAGCTCTTAAATATAGCGGCATAGCTATTATGGTCTACGGGGAAATTTTCCGGGGAGAGAACGGCCGTTAGCAAAAACTTACTATAACCAACTCGGATGGGAAAACTTGAATTAATTTGCCACCGCTAAAGCGTAGGAAGCGAGGGACGAGAGAGACTCTGAGCGGCGGAAAATTTGCGCGGTCTACCGAGTCCGAAGCCCCTAATGGATCCTTAACGAGTTGAACAATCGTTAAAGGGTTTAAACAATTGTCCGGTTGGTGACTTTTTAAAAACGGCCGATTCCTCCCGCGGCGAGTCCGGCATATCGAGTTGCCAGCGGCGAACACAGAGGCGAACTTTCCTCTCCCCGGCAAACTTAAACCGAAACTAAATGTACGCGAAGTATATAACCGCAAAGAAGCGTACTCCACGAAGACATCCCGGCTCGTTATCTCCGCCTCGGCCCCAGAAGATTTACAAACCCGCTATTATCTCGGTCGATTTTCCGCTGTTTGCGTCGAAAACGCAACATCTCAGTGTCTTCACAAGAATATATATAAAATGTTTAACTACTAAAAAGTTTCATATTTTTAAATTGTATAAAATATTTCGTAATTTATCTATTTTGAAAATTTAAATATATATAAATACTTTCTAAATATTATCGGGCATATTTTGTATATAGATATATAACAGTTGAGTGTTTGGTATGGTAAGTTAAAAAAGCTATTGCTAAATAAATAAAGAATTGATGACATAAATAAACGAATATG